ATTTCGTGCATAAGTCCAACAAAATACGATTTTCATTATTTTTTCAAAACACTTATATACATAATTATATATACACTAATATTTGCATTTGATGGTAATCGCTACCATGGCAAACACCGGCACAACATCTAGCGATTGGGGAATTTATGCTACTATTTACTCGTTCATATTAAGCGCATTTAAAACAGCGGACTTGGTACCAAATCCACAGTCTGATGCCGGGAATTATTATAACCGCTATGACAGAGGACTTCGGACAAGCTTCGATCATCTAAGTCGCCCTGATAATAAAACCAAGTTGCGGAAACGAGGTTAACCCATTTCTTTAAATTGAAATAAGACTGTGACCATACCGAGGACCATACCAACTTAGTCCTAATATCTTCAATTAACTATACTATACTACCAATCCTAATCATCTTAAGCGAAATTGGTTGAATACATCTCTATTACTGATAGTCTCGAAACTCTACTTAAATACGAAAAATAACTATACTTAAGTTGATTTTCCTGCTACATACTGGTATTAATATATCATTTTTGTTTTTTATCGTATACTTGTTTCGTTTTATTTACTATTTACCACTCACAATTCTGAATTCGAGCAAATCTCATAATCAACCATATGCCCATTTTGCCACATAAAATTACGTTCCATTCATCTTGTATACCTTTTGATATTAATTACTCCCCCCCATAACAGGATGTCCTGCAGAAAGTGATCCGTTTCGAGGGCCCATTAGCTCTTTGGAAAGGCTTCACGCCTTACTTTTTGCGCATCGGTCCACATACGGTTCTTACATTCATCTTGCTCGAGCAGATGAACAGTGCCTACAAGAAAAATGTACTTGGATTATCTAATTGGAAATCTGGCTCCTTCTAATCTTAAAGAAAGAAGAAAAGTCTACTCCAAAACATTTATAAAATAAATGGAAAAGATAGGCAAACATATGCGAAATCCATTAAATTGATCAAATTGTTGATGTTGTGTTAGCATAAGCCTTCAACACATTATCTTCTGATCTGCCTCCCGCTCATCCTTTACTGATGCACTAGCTTACAGCTGTTCAGTGAATACATGCATATATTTGCGCATATCCCCCACTTACCCTAGATAGGATAAGAAATAGTGCATACAAATTGCAGATAAAATATTTCTACTTCAAGTCATATTCCCATCTGTAATCATATCAAAAGAGCCATTTAAATTTGTTTTTTCCCACAAAATGTGAATAGACAGAGTAATTTTATTTGTAAAGATAAACTAGAAAGCATTTAGACGATGCGTGAAATGGATGGAGTGCGTTAGTAAGAATCTTTTTAGTAGATATTTGTAAAAAGCAAGATAATAAATTCCAGTAAATATATATTAAAAGGCAAATCAAATGCCATAATTGATGTCGAAGAAAATATGCGGGCATTCGTGATTTAAAATGTTTGGCCAAAATCAGCTTCTTAGTTCGGAATAAGAAGAGGTGAAAATGATGTCTAAAATAAAACCTAAACACAAAATTAATCATTTGTGTAGGATATGTAGACCAAATGAAAAGGAATTGGTCAAAGGTTAAAGGACATTCTATCTCATGCCTCTGTGAAGATACGAGCCTGGATCTTGGTTGACTGAGCAAAAAAGGTGTAGATAATCGATTCATTATTAAATAAAATACTCGGCTCCATTGATCAATAATCTAAATTAGATGCTTTTTGCATGAATGGTGGTGGCATATTCTAGAAGGAAGAATGAATCACGATCAGAACATACTTTATGAAATGTTTCAGGCTTGCATAAGTTTGAAAGACAAAACTGAAAAATACTTTAATAAATTTGTGCAAAATTATCGCGCATAAGAATGTGTGAATGAGCACTGACTTCACCAAAATGCGAGGTCATTGGGATCAACAAATGGTTGGAGCTTATTACGCCGTCGGTAGGCGGGCACAGAGTGGCGCTCTAGGCTTGGCCAAAGTTCACGATAGGCCAGGTAAGAATGAAGCGCCGGAGGCAACGGAAGCTTGGCCAAGCGGTGCGGATAGCTGGTGCAGTATTGTTGAGATAAACTGGCTTCCACTATGATCAGACAGAAAAGGTTTAAAACGTACATAAGATAACATGAAATAAGTATCAAAGGTCGACGTAAATGTGGCTAGTTTGGTACTGTATTTAGGGATTGATAGCGAAATTGCTGGGCAGACGATAGTCCTTCTATTCTAATTGAGTGGGATTTCTAGATAGTCAGCAGATCTTGGATAGAAGCTTCGGTCACCCTAGGTCGCTTAAGGTACTGAATGCCCCACGACGCAATTGAATTTCTCATAATGTGAGCTTTACTCATCTCATTATGGGAAACTTCACTATTAGTAGCAAGCCTATCACGAAGATGTGACGTCGGGAGGTATAGCTTGCTTTAAAATCCACGTATGCTCTGTGACCGACTGGCACTCGTGACAGTCTGGCGTAGCAGTACTATGCATAGCTATTTCAAATAATGACTTTAAGAGATGATTCAGCGAAAGCAAAATATGGTTAGTATTGTGGTTTAATATAACTCGACTGGACTGTATCTATGACGCTAGAATGGAACATGATACGGAAGTCAAACTGCCCGAATTGATTAATGATTCTGTGATACAGTAAGGAGTATCAAGTCTATAAGTGGTTTGATCTCGTTTTCGCAGTTTTCATATTGTTAGGGCGATATAGATTAACGTAGCTTGTCAGGAGTCGTCTTTCATGCTATTTGTGATAATTTCTGGCGTTGAAACGTGCGTGGGCTTTGTAATTTTATGGACGTATCCTTGGCATCCTTAGTAGCAAGCTACATTCAATCTAAGATGCAAGTAAAGCGCATCAATCAGTTTATTTTGACCTACTTTAGAGATGCGCACTTTTGAGGAGATTTAGGGAATATATTCACACTTCTCACTGGTGCTCTCTTGCTTTCCCCAATTGGGTCGAGGATGTTGATCTTACTCGGCCCGTTTTCTTTGAAATCTTCCTCACCCAACTTTTACTAGTCTCCCGTGCCCCGGACGATCCATTACATATCTCCATGGTTCATTCGATCATTGCCACCAGATCCTTGTTGCGCAAAGCGTGATTTTGTATTATATGCCTCAAGCGGACGAGATCACCCAGCTGAATGATAAACCAACTTGGAACTCTATTTTCCCTCAGCTCTTGGCCTGTGATCATACATTTATTTCACGGGCCATCAAAATGATCTGATACGTGTATAATGAACCAACTGTCTCTGGTTTCTGTCGAATTGAAGTTTGGTGCGCATAATAACAAGGCTCACTAATGATGAAACTATGATGCAGACGAGACCTATAAAAATATATCAAGTCTACATTCTGACGCTTTAAATGATTATGGCCAGTGCGACAGAGGATTCTGGATAAAGGTTAAGATTAGGTGCATTCATTTAGATCTGCCCGACAAAACGATCAAGTTGTGAAAAGAGGTCAAGCCATTTATATGCAGCTAAAGGATACTGTGACCAAGGTAAAGATTGTAC